GGGTGCACCATCAGAAGGCTCTATGGGTTTTACACTTTCACTACGTTGAATCCGTGAGTACCCATCCTGTAAAGTGGGAACCTCAGAGTCTGCAAGGACCCTTTCTCGGGCAGCCTCAAATCTCGGGGCCAAGCCTGCCAAGAAACTCATTGTTGCCATCTGCTCTCGCTGTTGTTGCTGAGTTTTGACATCTGGAGTGAAGGGCATCAATGAATTTAAGGCCTCATATGTCTTCTTGAAGTCCATGAAATATGCTTGAAGAGATTGATCCTGCTGGTCTGCCCGATAGAAAGCCTTACATACGTCATAGATACGAGTAAGATTTCCCTTACCTGAATATTCCATCAAGTCTTTAACTGTTTCACAATGGCCAACTAACCCAAGCACATCCCCATCAATTGAGTTCCGGATTTGGAGGAATAGTCGAGCATCATCCCTCAACCACACTTTCTTAGTAGCTGCATCCTTAGGAGGATCATCAGTCATATGATCGTCCTTGTCAGTACTTCGGAGATATAGTTTAATAGTCGTAACTCATTCCAGATAATTAGAGGAATTAAGTTTCCTCTCTGGGATTTTTGACATGACTGGAAAAACTTCAGTGATGACACTAGACTTATCACCCATTTCAATGGACTAAAATTTGAACAAAACCTGATCGGCAGAGGAAGACAAATCAAAAATCACCCACTGAATGTCCAAACTGAGTCTGCACAGGTGCTTAGATGACTCAGGCGACCCTGACAGTGATTTTTGACAGTGGATCTGACGTGAGGTCTCCAACGAAGGAGAGATTCTCCAGAATTGTTCTCCTGCAACGTGCAACTCCACCCACGGTGGCGGTGACGTCAGGCGAGCACCCTTAGAGACAGCGTCAAAATGGCAGAAGCCCCCCCCCCCTTTTTTTACAAATAATGAACCCTAACCCTAGAGCACACTGGCTCCGATACCATGTGACTGATAATCAGAGGTTTTCCTCATAATACATAATTACATATTACAAAATGACTATATATATACATAAGAAGGGTGCTAATATAAGGAAACTATATCTCCCATATTAATGCCTAAATCACCCATATTAATGGCCAAATCAGATCCTGCCATATTCTCAGGACTTAACTAAAATACTAATATTATTACTAATAAGTAGTAACAATATCCACAGATTTGCAGAAGAGAAAAGAAGGAAAAGAAATGCTTCTTGTGAAGTTGTATCAGCATGCCCCATGATTTGCATGATAATTTTACATTATCAAGCTCATAATGTGACATGACTAAAGCAATTATCTCAACACACCACCATCTCAGGATATTTCCATGCATGTGGAAATAACATATAAAGCGCACAATTTTGGAATTGTCGCATTATTCGTTAATAAAAGGGCTGCATCACAAAGGGCATCCGGCACAACAAATTTCAATGACTTTGGCATGAATTTAATTTAAGGTTAATTACATCTTCAACTTGAATTTGGTGTTTTAAATGCAGTTAATCAACTAAAATGTTTAAAGAATTCTCACTCTTTGAGACAAATATTGAAGGTGTTTAGCTGATAAAATTTCAATTAGTTTTCCTACAATTACCACTACATCCTTTCATTTTTATATCACTCACGGAAAATCTAACTAGACAATGGGTTTACTTGTAATGTTCAGAAGTCTTGAGGGACATTCAGTAATTTGGCCAAGCCTCTGAAGACATAGATGTATTTAAATGAATTAACAGTATTAACTGATTTTGGATAATTAATTGACACTATCAACTCCACATCACCGACCTCACAATGACAATATTGGAACATGGAAATGAAAAGCATGTCATCCTTTTTCTTTCACAAAGACTAAAAATGATAAGCCATTTTTGCTAAATGCTTACATCTTGCGCTTTGACATATCGCTGGTTGAAATGCCTTCAGCAGCAGGGGTTCCTTCTAAAATAAGTCCTTCCTGCAATACATAAAATAGTAAATAAAGATTTTAGATTGTAGACACACACACACACATATTTCAAACTGACTTGACAGCATTGCAAGAGAATAAACTGGATGAACCTTAGCCAGATGAAGGTTACGATGGTCATGTTCCTCCTTTTTTGTTCTCTCCACCTCCTTATCCTGAGCTGATTTTCTGTCAATGGCTTTCAAAACTTTCAATTGTCTACCCTTCAGATGTATACCCAACCCATCAGCAGTGTTGGCTGCTGAAAGGGCAGCATCAGCAGCATCTACTGTTTTAAATTTGAGAAATCCTGTACCCCTTGGTCTCCTATGGACATTTACAGACAGTCATACAGTGAAATTAGAAAATTTAGACTCTTAGAGCCCATTTCTAACCTTCAGTTTTGTCTTGTAAGCTAATAAAACAAAATAGTAGCGGAAGAGTTACTCCTTTGCTGAAATTTAAAGAATTGACACATTTAGTATATAGTATGTATTTATGTATATGCATGTGTAGAAAATCATTTTCATGCCTAATTAGTCAAATTTTAATTAGTTGTAAATTTCAATAATTTGCACAATATGCAATCAATTAAAACTTTAGACACGTTGCCGGATTGCATGAGACTCAAACATGGATCACTTGTTAAAAGCTTTCTAAACTATGTGTAAACTACCAGTTATGTAAATAAGTTAATATTTCCCATTTTAAACATATTTTGTTGTATGGTTTTTTGGTTAACCTTTATTGTACCAATGACAGATTTTTCATATCGATTGGTCAAGTGTACTATAAAAAATTGAAATGTTTGTACGGTTAGCTGGAAAATAAATCCAGATTTTTTGTTCTCACTCTAACTTAACCATTTTAAAGCTGCCAAGGCCAGCTTTTAATAAGCACTATACTGAAAAGTGAAGTTATACGTGGCGACTTGGTGAAGAACTTGAACAAAGGAGTACACTTCTCGAAATGCAGAAAAATCCTTTTATAAGCACTATACTGAAAAGTGAAATTATACTTGGTGACTTGGTGAAGAACTTGAACAAAGGACTCCACTTCTCCAAATGCAGAAAAACGCTCTTTTACTTCTTCATTGTCAACATCAAAAGGAAGGTTGTTTATGAAAATTGTCTGTTTCAGATCATCTACTCCTTCAGTCCGCATGGCAATTTTCTCCTTGCTAGAACTTTTTGGTGTTTCACCAACATCACTCTTTTCTGCATTGGGCAAGCCGGAAGAATCATCTGCTGGAAAAGAATTTGTTGTCCCCTTAAAAGTAGATGACATTAAATTTTCAAGAACTCTCCTTGCAATGTTTGCTTCCGTATCAACATTAACTTCTGGATGTGTGTCTTTTTCTTTATCATCACCATCATCATCATCATCTTCTTCTTCTTCTTCTTTCTCTTTTTCTCCTTCTTCATATTCTTCTTCTTCGTTTTCTTCTACTTCTACTTCTTCTTCTTCATCAACACTATCTTCGTCTAGTTCTGTTTCTTCAATCTCATTACTATTATCCTGTTGGGATTTTCCATCAATCTCCATTTCCTTATCCTCCAAATCAACACTGCTGTCATCATCTCCATCGCTTTCATTTGGTCGTCCTGTAAGAACAAAATTCAACCAACGATATGTACTACGTAGATATATGTACCGAACAGAATTTAAATGTATGCAAGACAAAACATATAACCTCTCATACACAAGACACTATTAGGATAACACCATTTTAGACCATATAATGACGATAGATTTTAGCCCATGTAATGACCATATTAGGATCAAATGAATGATGCACCATGAGAGAAATGAGAATGCATATGACCCATTGGATTTAACATCTAAGGGATACAAAAAAACAAAGAATGAGAAAAATATTGAAAAAACAGAATGGCATTTTAGTAAATAAGTGGAACTTTTCTGCTATCGCGAAATATGCACTACTTTCAAAACAATCATGCAACGCGATGAACCAAAAATGCACTATTCTTATTTCTACCCGATCAAGCATTCCCATATGCAAGCAAATGTGCATAAATGCAACAGTGGAAAAAATTTACCATCCTCTAAAGCTGCAGCAGGTTGATTATCAGCAACATAAACCTTTTTGGGTACAGCCCAATCAATAGCAATAGGTCTTTTACCAAAAGTCTTTCCATTGAAAGTCTTAATAACCTATACATCCAATTATTAAGAGAAAATAAAGCAAATAGATTAAAAGGTTAAAACACATGAGTACATAGATAGAAACTATATTAGATAAAGTTTAGCAGTTTAACTAGAGGTGGGTAGTCTAACAAGTGACAATACAATCAAAATATGCAATGAACATTAGACAAAGGAGAAGATTAGTTAAAACGGTTCTCGTTAGTGAACTATGAATGATGTTTACATACTGCAATGCAATTATGCAAATATAGATCTCTTCATATATTTAGAGAGGATAAAATGTATTGAAAAATAATTATATAGTTATATTTTGCATTTTGGTAAAAACTAATTATTTTGCAATTATTTTATTAAAAAATTCAGCTATCATATGAAAAAAAAGTGAACTATAAAACAATTTAAGCATACTAGACTATTCTTCTATGTGGCACTCTACTGGGTTGTTGTAGACTATTCTTTAAGTACAAAAAGGTTTTTTAAAAAACAAGCATAATACAATATTGTGATTCTAATACTCCGTACTATTAAGGGTCAAAGTCTTATACTCTTATTTCCCCGGGTAGAGTATCAAGTAAAAGTGCTTAAAATTTTTGCTCACTTCATAAGCCTAAGTTGTCATCTTTATATATTTGCCACTTTTGTTGACCTTACCCACACTTCTCTCCAAATCTTGGCAGAAACTCTTGAATACTCGCTCCGTCTTAAAACTTCCTTCCCATGTTGACTTGGCACAGTAATTAAGAAAAGTGAAATTGTGAGATAGAACATGCTTTAGAAGTGAGAGAAGAAATACAACCCACATAAATATTTCCAAAGGAAACAAGAAGTAAATTTTAGAACAACCCAAAAAAGAAAGTGAGAAAAAAATTTAGGACAGAGGGAGTATTACATTAACGCATACGTAGAGTTAAAGGTCCTAGAGTGTATGTATGGTAAAGAAAGTGTCATGTAAGATGTGTACCTTTTCTGCATCTTGTTTGGAAGTAAATTTAACAAATGCAAATCCCTTGGATAAACTGCAAATTGCAACATAACAAAGTAGCACAGAATCAAAAGAGTTGTTAAGAATAGGAATCGCAAAGTATTCACAGGTTGAATTGTACCCTGTCTCTGCATTCTCAGGAATATATACATCCCATACAAAGCCAACAGTTGAAAACATGGTCTTTATCTCATTCACTGTGGCCTGCACTAAGTTTTAACAAACTTAAAATTAATGTTTTACCTTAATCGGCTAATCCTTACACTGCACAAAGGCATAAGGCTGCAATAAAATGATGGAAATAAAAAGTAACCTTAAACGGAATATTCCTCACTATTAGTTTCCATTTATTAGTCTTGGAACCCTGGCATAAAATTTAAAAAAAATGACCACAGATAATCTTAAAGCTTATAAAATAGTTACACAGTTAGAGAGGTATAATAAATAAGTGCCACATAAGCATGGAGATCATAATGGAGAAAATGAATGAAGTGTAAAACAGTTTATATCAGACTCAAGTTGGATAGGAGTAAAGATCACATTCACATTTTCTAATAAATCATAACTACAATGCTCGGGGAGATGGGGGCTGAAAACATCCAACAAAAATCGTCAGCAAAAAAACAAAGAAATTGAGCAATAGAAACTGAAAACCCTAAAAGTATTTTTAAAAAAATCCCAGCCGCTAAATTCATGATTGTGGAGGAAAACCACCCCTGAACTATTTGCTAAAATGAAAATTTTACCTCTCCACCAAGTTGGCGCACCCATATAATTCCTCCGTGTATTTCTTTTTTATGTAATGTTTCAACAGAAGTTTTAGCAGATTTAACACTAGTATAAAGCACCGATGAAGCGCCCACTTTACAACCATCTTGAGCCAACCCTAATTCACTCCAAAAAAATCAGAATTGCAATTAGGAGTATAAGTTGATACAACATGGCAGATTACTTGAGCATTAAATAGTGACCAATGCTGATAAGTGACTTTTTAAAACAGATCATTTTAATAAAATACATAACTCAGACAAATAGAGAGAAATATAGAGAAATAGAGAAAAACATGAATACAGAAAGACAAATATTTAAGAGCAGAACTTATTATATTTAAAAGTATTACCAGTATATTCAAGTTCTTCTTTTGGAAGAGGATAGGTAATGGAACATACTGTGCCACAGCCTTTAGCGAGACTATGAACTTCCTCTGCCATATTGGCAGAAAGAATACCTCCAATTATGACTGTCCTGGCAACCCTGTTAGAGATTGTGACAGTACGAGATATATAAATTTTAAATAAGTATATAATCCATATTTTTTTTGAAGGGTATAGAATTCAGATTTAATATCAATATTTATATCATTTTCAGCAGTTAGAAAGTGGGGTAGTGGACTAGTCGGTACCTCTGCTTTTCTGAACAACTCTTTTCATCAGGCAGGCCAGTGCAAAGCTCTGTAGCTTTTCTTTTTCTTCTATGTTTACCTATACCTTTCGCAGGGTCAAATACTAAAAAGTACTCCATAGTCAAACCCTTTAAGGAGCATATCAATATATCATAGTTATGAACCTGTTGCTTGAGAGTTAAGATCTTGTTCGGGCTTGACTAATGCATCGGGCAAGGTCTCATTATTGTCCTTATGAGGCGCCTCATCTGCATGAAAAAGAAACATCCAAGCATTTCAAAGTTCCTTCATTTTTATTACCAAGCTAAACTTTTCTATGCAAAAAACAATTCAAAGCCACTAACCTTGAGATCCCTTTGATTTACGCTGTTTGAGAGGGGCCCGATGCACTGCATGTTTGACTCCAAGTTTTCGTCCTCCAACTCTTGAATTGTTTTTTAGCTCAATAGCACGACTTGCGTCTTCAACATTAGCACTGTACTTGCAAACAGAGACAAAACTACAACTGTATATCATGTCATAGCAATAACTGAACTGCTTTCAGTTTCAAAATGGTGATAGGCTTACAATTGAACAAATCCAATGCCTCGGTGCTCCGTAGACCCTGTGCAGTAGGTCAAACAATTAACACTCCATAATATTTTCCCTTCTTGTTGCATGAGATTAAACAAAAACATTACATGTGAATGATGAGTTTTATTTAAAGTTTAGCATGTTAGTTGTATCATAATTATGCTCAACAATTTAGTTAAATCCCACGAGAGTAGGGTGGGGGGTACACAGACCTTTCCCCTACTGGGAAGTACAGAGCCTATTTCCAAGACAGATATCATAAGATAATATAAGATCACAGAAGACACGTAAAGCACATAAAGCATGGAAAGAACAGAGCACAAGGAGGCAAGGGGCAAACTCATGTTAATGATGAAAAATAAAGAATCACAGAGGCAGAAAGCACCAGGCATACAGAGCACACAACAAGTGGATAAATTACCACCTAACCTAAAGCGCCTGCCCAACTACCTTATACCCTGTGTTCAGAAAATATAAAAGCACACATTCCATTAGTTAAGCACTAATTTCCTAGAACACACTCCATATGACTCTAAATTATCTTTCACTTTCCTTTTTTGTCCAAAGTTTAGTGTGTGTGTGTCGGTGGGGTTCTAGTGACACCCACTTTTGGTTACACTAGCGGTGCCACTATCATTTTGGGGCACTTCCGGTGCTCCGTTCGTAAAATTGACTGTTCCCACCCCCCTAACCCACCCCCTAAACCCCCACCCTACCCCGCCCCTGCACCCCCACCCCAACGCCGCCGTAAGCCCCCCACAAAGTGTGTGGCTATTATGCAATGCATAATAGCCACACATTTTGTGGGGGGCTTACAGCGGGGTTGGGGTGGGGGTGCAGGGGTGGGGGTTTAGGGGGTGGGTAGAAACCGTTAATTTTACGAACGGAGCACCGGAAGTGCTCCAAAATGACAGTGGCACCGGAGTGTCACCGTACTCCGGTGTAACTAGTGCTCCATCGCCTTGGAACTATCCTACGGAAGGAGGCATGAAAGCTAAAAAGGAAGATGGATAGTAATGGTGGAAATTAATTCCCACTGCCGTTTACTTGTCCCTCCATTGATGGGGTAATGTAAACAGTAGCTTTATACTTGATACTCAGTGTCCCTATATTTATCTCATTCCTTTTTTAAGAAAGCAATACGTGAATTATATTATTTTGTTTATGTTCAAATCAAATATCAACCACTCAATTTTAACTTTCTTAATTCCCGTGCAAGGTCAAAGTGGGACATGGTTTATGGACGGAGGGAGTACCTTTCTTTGTTACCAAAAAACATCTTCTGATCGGGCCAACATCACTGAAAGTTTCTTCAAGCTGTTTTATCACCCCCAAAAGAAGAAGAAAATGAGCAGCAGTACATCTTGAGATATACAAATATCTGCATATAGAAGAAAAAACTCTTTTGGGTTGGCAGATAGAAGCTACCTGGGTGTTAGTAAAGGAGTAAGGCAAGTTGGAAACAAAGACAGTTGAGGGAGAGAATTGGCTATTGCTGTTTTCCTTATTCATCTCCTTTCCCATCTCTGAGGCAGCCAATGTTTCAATCCTTGAAAGGCAAAATCAACACAAGTTTTCAAAGATCTATCTCATATATAATGAAGCAGTTTACTTGTTGATTGTTCCCGCCTGAACTGACGGAAAAAAGTACTTTGTAACAAATATAGAAGTAGACTGTAGTGCACTGGTGAGGCTTTGCATTGAGATTCTCAAGGTGTAACTGCCAATATCTATACTCCATATTTTTTTTTAATGTGTTAGAAGTTAGAACACTGTTGCTTTTAACAAAATGAAGAAATGGAGTTGGGAAGACTGAAGAATACTGTTAAAGAATAACCATATCATTAACCAACTATAGATATCTTGTGGTAATAGTGAATGAATTTTAAACTAAGGAATCAAAAGAAGGTGTTCAACTTATAACAAATTAAATTTTAAATTAAACACAAAAAAATATGAATTAAATCAACTGATATCGAATAAAATTAACTTGAACTCATAACAGTTAGCAAAATACTCAAATACAATGCAAAAATAAAATTACACATAAATTGCTAATATTCAAAATTAATTGGAATTACTTTTTGGATTGGAGATTTGAAAGTGGAGAACGAAGGAGTTACTAGTGACCAGTGGTGGTGGGACAACACTGCGTGTCGGCAGCCGGACGGGACTGATTTGGGATGGCAGAACAAAGCAGGCACTTATCTTATCTGAAATAAAAACAAAATGGGTCTCATAGGTCTGTATGGTACTGGAGTGGTGTTCCATAGAAATCATTGACAGTAGGTCTAAAAATTCATTAATGATAAAAGCATCTACTAATTGTGTTTCATGCCTCGATAATATAAATAATGCATACTTAATCTATTTGAAGACCGGAAGATGAAGCAGCAAAGCCGGAGATGAAGCTCCTGTAGAAAAAAAGAAGTACCTGAGGATGGAGGCCGCCATAACGGCAGAATGGAAGGAAGCTTGTGAAATCATGGGATGGGTTATTGGGTTACCCACAGCTGTCTTCCATGATTTCACAATAACCCAATAGCCCGTCCCATGATTTCACAATCTCTTTATAACTTTATTGAATATTTTTATTTTTAGACTTGGCAGGTTCTATGGTCTTGATTGTATTTTGAATGGCTCGGCTTTTGGATACTTTTGTTGTTGACAACTAATAGCCTTACGTGTCTTCTGCTGGGTTTTCCTTGATAAAAAGCAATGGTGTTCAATGATTTTGCTACATCCGAAGAAGAGTCTTTTGAGGACTCTTGTTAGATTTTTGTTGGGTAGTAAATTACATTTTAGGAGACATAAAGGGCTGAACAACTAGCAACTCGCAGCAAGATAGGTTGGACCTTAGAGCCACCTGCAAATAGTTCTTGATTATATTAGTCTCCTTTTGGATTTTAGCATTGGTTTTGCTTTAGAATTGGTTTTTATCCTTAATGTCCTACCTGCTTTGGACGCTTATTTGAAGATTTAGGAAATGTTTTTTTGTATTAAAAAGATGTAATGAGATTCTCTTGACATGTACTTTGTAAGGATTTTTTACTCTTATCAATAAATTTTCTTTTTTACCAAAAATATATTATATTTGTTAGGACACAAGGAATGTATTCTAAATGTAGTATATAAAAGACGACATATGTTAGACTATATGAGGTTACATTTTAGGTGTCTTCTTATAATTTTAAGGACACCTTTTAGATAGTTTATGAACACACAAATAGTGTCCTAATATAGAAAAGAGGATATGTGTTAGCCAATATAAGGACAAATTTTAAGTGTTTTAGTATGGATTTAAGGAAACCTTTTAATGGGATTTTAGATGTGTCCTTGAATAGAAAAGAGGACACTTATTATGTGTCCTTGTTTTAGACTTATTAAGACTCCTTTATAATAGATGAGTCTTTTTCTGTGTCCTTAAATCTATTTTTTCTTGTAGTGTATATAGCTTCCACACCTAAAGAAACCTAATCATAAAAGGCAACTAAATAAATCAAGAAACTAATTAATAATTTAACAAAAAAAGTACTCTGTTTGCCAATTGTCAATTGATCACAAATTAACCTAAATTCCAAATTACACTACACTTAAGAAAAGAGAAGTATAATGGTAACTAGGGTCTTCCTCAGGGAGACTTGTCTTCTATTTTTTCAACTATTAAGCTCCACATACGCACACAAAAGGGGGGTTTTGTTCATGAAGAACCTAAACATACTACTAACAGAAGTCAAAGAAGGGAAGCAAGTAGAGAACAGAGAGCAAAGAGCAAGTGATAGGTTTAAGCAGATTTTGCAAAGCATGTTTGGCAAGACCAGGATTCAATCAATCAATTAACACACATGAAGTAGACTTTCATTTTAGGCAAGTCATTACACAAATCTGGAGATGTCAGTTCTCTCAGTAAGAATCTAATACTAAAAATCACTTATTTAGGGTTCGTTCCGTTCAACTTATTTTTTCTACTTATTACATATTCTTAATAAAATCAGATCAGAGTCAGCTTTAAATATAACTACAATCAGACGAGATCAGATCTAATCAGAATATCAGATTCGAGAAAAGTACACCGTTTACCCCCGAATTCTTCAAAAATTGCACGATTTACCTTTGAACATTAAAAAGTGCGCCAAATACCCCTGAATTCTTCGGAAATTGCACGGTTTACCCCTGAATATTAAAAATGAGCACTAAATACCCCTAAACTCTTTGGAAATTGAACAATTTACCCTTGAACTTTTAAATAAAGACGATAATTTTGGGGAAGGGTAATTTAGAGAATTCACAAGGGCCAGACAAATCATACTCGCAATTCCCGTGCGTGGGAGCAACTAGACCTGACAAAATAGAACCGAAACCAATTACCCGAACCGATTATCTAAAACCAAAACCGAAATGATCCAAAAATGAAGATCTGATCTATAACTGAAAACCCGAAATGATCCGAACCGAACTGAAACTGAACTAAATAATTCAAATCCGATTTAAATTTGAAACCGATTAGATCCGAAACTGATAATACCTGAACCCGATTAGAACAAAAACCGATAAAATTTCAAACTATGTTTTCCTTTCAATAAGCAAATTATATTTATATTTTAAAATTTTTACTTTTATTTTACCATTAGAACTAATTACATTACTTGCTCATTCCCTCATAAAATGGATTACCATCTTGAAAAAAAATTACAAAATTTCATGCCTTAAATTTATTATATTTAGAAATTGAACAGAGGTTATACATTTAAAATATTGGATGAATAAAGTGAGCCAACTATTTTGTTATTAACAAAATTAAAGGGAATAAAATATTTGAAAAACAAGGTGAAGCATCAATTGAATGAAATTAGGTCTAAGAGTTGAAGGTGAGTGGGAATTGAGAAAGAAGTTGAATGGTGGCGTAAGAAAAGTGATAAGATTAAGGACGGAAAGTGAAAAGGAATGGGGGAAATTTTGAGCTTTAGGGGGGAAGATGTTAGGCCCGAACCGGGGGTCTAATCAAGTTGTTATTTTTGGAGATGGAACTGTGGAATAATGAAGGGAAAATGGGTTGGATGAAAATATGGGAATGTGAAGGAGTTCTTTTTGGGTTTTGATATTATGAAGAAGAGTGGAAAATCAGGGTTGGATAAACCAAGTTGGTGTTTAAGAGATATTACACACTCTTAGCCTAACTTGGGGTTTGAATCTAGAATTCAAATAAGATATTACACACTTATTTAAATATCTAGAACCTAAAACTCACACTTAAGATAACCACTCTTAAGATATAGAATTAGGAATTTGGCTAAAATAGCATCACACTATTTTATAAATACTCAAAGAGTAAAAGGAGTTTTTTAATAATTCAGAGATGTTCCTTACAAGGGCCAAATGGCCGAAATATATAAGGAGGGGAGAGGAGGGAAAACACACAATATAATGAATGCAAATACAAGGAACCTTCCTACATCCCTTTATCATTCACTAGCTTCCAATCTTGAGTTGATAAGGGCTGATTTTGTTTGACTTTGTCTTGGCTTTGGAGCTGGCTTTGTCTGTCCTGTTGTGGAGGCAAAAATCACAAAGAATGAATGAAATCCTTTGATGATTGTGGTGGATATTCTGGCTAAAAAGAGGGGACAAACAAAGATGGGTGATGGATGGTGTATTGGCCTTATATGGTAAGAAATGACAAGGAAAGATCATGGGTGCAAGGATGTGAAATAAGTCAACAAAAGGACAAATTTTCACTATTCAACTTTATGACTTCTATCCTGATTGTGAGAAAGGTGATTTCCATTTGTTAGTAGTTGAAAAAGGGGCCTGATTTATGGATAAAATGGAAGGGATTTTAGTCCCTAGTTGTAGGAAAAAAAAGAGGAAAGACATTATTTGGGTAAAAGGACTTTAAAAGAAACAAACAAAGGTTTTGGCTTTTATTTTCTCTCATTTTCGGCCAAGGGCTTTGAAATGAGTGGGGGAGGACTTTATTTGAATAAAAGAAAAGAAAGAAGACTTTTGGATATGTTGGGAGAGTTGGGATTTTGGTGGAGTCATCCAGGGGTACATCAGAAGATTAGACATAAAAAATTAAGTCTTTGATTAGATATTATATTAAAAATACAGTACTAATTTCAGTTTTAAGTTATAAAATCTAATTAAATTAATCTTATTTTGAAGAAAAAAAACTCCCTCCATCTCAGAAAGAATGCTACATAACACAAAACAAAGCAAAATTTTAAGTTTTTTAAATTTATTTTATTTAAAGATTGGTATAGAAATAAATAAATGTTTACATATTTAAAAAATACGTCAAAAGTTTTACAAAGTAAGAGGTTACAAGAATAATAGTTTATTTTATCAAATAACCAATGATAACGCACAAACAAATAAAATTTATGTAAATAGTGAAGTATGATATTCTTTTTGGGACGAAAGGATTATATGATGAATTGTATGGAACAACTAGATTTTATTCTAATTTCATCCAATTACAATAAATTGTATTGGTTTGGGAGTTAATTTGATTAGTTTCAAACCAATTCACTCAATATTACTCAATAACATTAGATGTTAGTGTTAGCTTTTTGAAAAGGCTCTCTAGCGGCAGCGTTTAGTGTTATCATTTTCAAATTTGATCTACACCATTACATTTAGGTGTAAAATTAATTATATTTGACTCTATTAAATTTAATTTTATCTAATTTTAGCCAAACACACTCAAATAATTTATAAATTTTGCACTCAATTGAATAGAATTCACTTAATTTCACCCAATTTCACTCAATTTTTACCAAATTGTATTCAATTGGAGCATAAGACTATTTGAATTTATCTTTTATCTTTGCATTTATAAACATAAATATATTAGTAGATGTGAGAAAAATTTGATATATGATTATATCAAAACTATATTTTAAAATCAATTTAATTAGATTAAATTTATATCATAATTAAAATTATGTTTTTTCATAAATTGTAGTCCAATTTGTAAAATATGACTAAAAAGTCAAAAAAGGAAAATTATTTAGGGTAGAGATAATAATATTAGAAAAAAATATAAAATAATATGAGGTGTGGAATTGATGATAGATTGATAAATGTGATAAAACATAAATAAACATGGATAATTAAATTTTAATTAGAAAATAATATATATTCAAAATATATTACATTGAAATATATTTGATTTGAAACATAGCCGAAACCGAAATATATCTGAACCGAACTAGATCCGAAACCGAAATATATCTGATCCAAATTGTATCCGAACCAAAATCTATCCGAACTGATTTATATTTGAACTGTATCTGAATGACTCGAAACCAAACCGAAACCAAAAAATGTATAGAACCGAATCAAATCCAAACCGAAATTAAACTGAACCGAACTGATTATAACCTATATCCGAACCAAAAAAATCTAATCTGAAATCGGTCTGGTTGACCCGATTGCCACCTCTAGGAGCAACGCACTCTCTATCTAGAATTTTAAGACCAACGGTGCAACATTTTAAATTGTTCAGGGTATTTGGTGCACTTTTTGATATCCAAGGGTAAATCGTGCAGTTCTAGAAAAGTTTGAGGGTAAACAATGCATTTTTTAATGTTCAGGGGTAAACCATGCAATTTCTAAAGACTTCAGGGGTAAACGGTGCACTTTTCTCTATCAAATTTAGATCTAACCAGATTGGTAAGATCCAATCAGATCAAACCAGATCAAAACAGATCTTTAAAAAATTAGATCACAGGCAAACAGAACACAACCTTAATCCTGAGCACACAAACATAATCTATCTCTATATTGACATCTATAGGTTGAGCCTAATAGACGTCAATATAGACATGCATTAAATTCTAGGATCCACATTTGAGCCTACAATGTTTACTGGACAACGAGTCAACACTATACGCAGGTTAATAGACCAAAAACCAAGTGCCTACACTCATTGGCGGATCTACCTTGCTCCGACTGGGGCACCCGCCCTCGGTCAACTTTTTTTTTAAAATATATAATATAAAAATAAAAAACATCTTGTAAAAATTAAAGCATGCCCCTAGTAAAAAATTTGTTTGCCCCAATCAAATAAAAAATTAATTCCAAAAGAGTAAAATTATTTGAACAGAATATAAAAGTAAAGTATTTGTAAAACTATAGTGATATTCAATATACTCCGTACTACGTAATTCATTCAATACTATATTTTATTATTTTTGAAATATTTTGTTTTACTTATTTTATATTTGTTTAATAAAAAATCAAGTTTTTTTTCATCGTAATATAAAAGTACTTTTAAACCCCTGCCTTACTATATCGCCTCCGGTCATTCGCAATCCTGGGTCTGCCACTACCTAGACTTATAAACCAAGGCATAAGACCTTCGGTTCATAGGTATGTCACCTCTAACCAAAAGCAAGGCCTAAATCCATCAATCACAGGCTTAAAAAAGCCAATCTAACACATTCAAGCGTGCATTATTGAAGACTGAACCCTAATCGGATCACCGCAAATTATATTATACAACCGACTCATGGGTACAGCCGGCCTTAAACCTAAACGATTACTGCGAAGAGGCCTTGATTACTGCGGCAAAAGAAGCTGACGAAGAGGAGCAATTACTGCGACCAGCAATTTGGGATCGGGGGAGAGGCACCGATGAAGGGAGGGCAACGAAGGAGAGGCCTGCAATTTTGGATCGAAGGAGATGCTCTGTGGAAGGAGAGGTCGGCTGCACGTAACGGATGAATGTGGCAGCAGCAACCCTACCGGACGGCCGACGGCTCTTCTATAGAAGATTGAGTTTGTTCCCCCTCCTCGCTGTCGTCCTGGTTGGTGGCACTGGCATGAATCCAAGATGGAGAATACAAGGAACAGGTTGCAGAGATGACTGCTTGCTCCCCAAATTTTTTACTATAAATTATTTAGAATGAGTATTATTTTACTACAAAATGAATACTAAGTTGTTTGAGAATGAACACTGTGTTATTCGTAAATGAATATTATAATGATATTGAGCAAATGTGTGAAGATGAGTACTACCTTATTTCAGAATGAGTACTACCTTATTTCAGAATGAACGCTTATGTTTGTGCGAGAATGAGTACTACCCAACTGTATATATCTCTAAGTACAACCGGCTGTACCATATACCTTCTCTACATGGATGAAATTATTCACGGTTCATCTCAATTTCAAGCAAATTACAGAATTCACATCCAATAACATATATCTTATATTCATGATATTAAATCGAGCTCAATTTCAAGACATATAAATTGAGTGTTCGAGAAGAAGATGCAAAACGCAATTCAATCAGCAGTTAATCTCAAAAACAGCTCGGAAATAGAAACTGAGAGTAATATGAAAATCGAAGGAATTAATCGATAGAAAATGAAAGCTGGACGGAAAATACCTGGGATGCGCCGATCGAGAGTTAACCCCTTAGTCGTTGGTGACGTATCAAGTTGGAGAAAGCGTCTGACTGGGCGGTTCCGTCTCACTCGCCGGCGACTGTCGGATCGGCGGCGAATTGCTCGGCGAAAAACCTTTTTCGGCTGGTCTTGTTTTATTAGAAAGGGAGGAAGGCGGGCTGGAGACCAAAATTGGGTCTGGTCTTTTTATTAGACTGGGCCCAAGCATGAATTTTACTTAAAATTACCCAAAAAATGACCATAAAAACAGTCCAACCCAAAATGGTCTAATATCAAAATTGGTCTCAAATCAGCCAAAAAGTGCTTGATTTGACCAAAAAATTGGTCTCAAACCGGCTCAAAATATAGGAGAAATTGTGACAAAAGAATAAGCTCAACATATTCCATAGGGAGAAATATCAAAATAGAACTAAAATATTAAGAAAGAATCAAAATATGGTTCACATTTTTTTATTCTCAAAATAGGATAAAGATTTATTTTTTAAAAAAATCATGCTCCATTAAAAATTCCGCACTGATCCATTTCCAATTGTCGCACTACTACTGTGTCAGAATACAATGTCAAAGATGTTAATGTAGATGGACAAAAATGACACTGAAAAATGTCAAATATGTCGATATATAATATCAAAAATAATAAAACATCAAAAATAATGAGTGACTAAGATAACCTGGTAGTAGAAAACATAGTCCACTTCCTTCAACTATTGCAATAACAGAAGTATTATACTCCATATTTAATTTCTTTTTTGTGTTTGCACTTCAGAATGAGCACAACAATTCCATTGGATGCGGAAGGAGGGAGGAGAGCAGATGGCAATATACCAATACAACTTGATTTTTTAAAAAAACTAAAAATTAAGTAAGGTCTTATATTGCGGAAAGAAACTTGTAGCTCCTATTTAGAACATAAGGGGTACGATTTATATTAATTTTTATATTAATTTCAAATTATAGAATTAACATATTCCCCGTGCAACACATGAGTGAAATACTAGTTAGTAGTACGGAGTATATACTATTTACCTTCGATATAGTAAAAATATAAATAAAAAAAGGGACACCAACAGGCTATACAGTTTGTAAAGATTTATTCAAGGTACATCCGAGATGGAGTTTGCACCCGGGGAACTCCATATACAGACATCTATTTCTAGTTCCCCACAACTATTTGTGTAGGTAAAAGGAACCAGAAGGAAATCATGGGGAAACCCTTCAATCCTGCCCGGGAAATTCTGGGCAACCGATTGCAACCGCAAAGAGCTGCCCCCTTTTTCCGAAACAATATCATACGAGTAGTGAGTCCTTGTGGTGGTTGGGCGAATGCTGGTGACCATGACCCGATACCCGACGCTCTCTGTTTCCCTGGACAGCAGAAACAACATCCCATCTTCTTCGGCTTGCAGCACAAGGAAGGGTTCCTTCTTCCCCAAGCTTACGCGCAAAGGAGAATCGTATCTGAAGCGTCTGCCTGAATCCCAATGGCGACTGCTGAAATGATGGGAAAGCTGTATGGACGAGTCTATAAAGTCGCAAGTCCTAATAGGGCATAGGCATGGTGCATATGTGCAGAACTCAAGATGGTCTTTGTTGTTCACACAATCCATGGTTACCAAGCATCCATATCTTGTGTTTCCACATGGGGCTTGATTGGAATTAGCAGCCATGTCCATGGGAGATTGTTTCTGATCAAAGATTTCAAAAAAATGCATTCATGAACCAAACCAAACAGACCCAGTATGTCTACTGTGGAAGTTGTTTCCAAGATAATCACGAACAACATGACCCAAGCAAAGCATTCATGTTAATAAGTAATTTTCCAAAGCATTTTGGCCAGGTTTCGAGGATCAAAACCTACCCAAAGCATTTTGGCCAGGTTTCTGCAACTAGGGAGAAGTTTCAAAACCATATACATAATTTATGAAACACTTCAGCGCCATTTGTTAGATTTCCGAAATTCAGGAACACGTTTTTTCAGGAAATTTTTAAATCATGGAACCAATTTTAAGATGTGAAGGCTACATTACCTCCACATGTATTTCTTCATTTGCTTGACCATCCAAATCCTACAAAGTAAACATGTCCAAGTCATCAATGCAACTAATAATTGAGCAAGGCATAAAATACACCAGCTCTGTTTGGCAAAGTTTATGACTAATACTCCCTCTGTCCCGTTTTTTATTACCTCGTTTGACTTTGCAAAGTTAAATAAAATGAAATTTTGTGGTTGCGGTATACTTACAAAGGGAGGAATCAATATCAACCACAGAATTCTTTGCTTGTAAGAAAAACAGAGTTATTTAGGTAAGACTGTAAGACTTAAAAAAAGGGACAGAGATCATACTTATTGCTCTGGATTCCGCAATTTCGGCATATAAAAAGAAGCATCGCCACACACGGGGAAAAACTTCATGTTTTTTACATGAAGCTTAAAATAACAAATTGTGTTTTAGATTTATTTATGACAGAAAAAATAAATGCCAACCACAATTTTTTCATTTAAAGGAGAGTATGAAATAAGACAAACTTTTAGGGACAACCAATATAGAAAACTGAAAAGAACATTTAAGAGCATTTAGATCTAGGGATGGATGGAATAGTTATTAAAATAATATGCTCTGTAATCTATATCCACAGCCAGGATAGAATTATGATTATCAAGCATATTCTATTGAACAACAACATGGTAGTTTAAGCATGGTCAGGACTAGTTTAATACGGAGCATTAGCAATGTAACAAAAGAAAATAATGATTCAGTAATTAAAAACATGACAATTTGGGGCTTGTAGAGTAATGGATTTAATCCACGGGAATTATAGCAGAAAGGACGTATACATAGAAATAATATTCAACTGACTCTTGAGATGAGGCTATAATAAGCACTCGGTATACTCCCCTCTCCACGCTTGGAGAGGTTATATTCATAGGGGCCAAAGGGCTACCCTACCACTGTGTAACTTCCATGTTCCATGAGGACATGCGAACATGCCCCATGATCATGGTAGATCATGAGGACGTGGGGGAGTATCATGGAGGCTTCTCACTAGTGTCCGAACCCTAATCCACCTTGGTCTGCCACTTGGCAGAGTCCACACACCCAACCCATTTCATGTGGGCTAGATCCACTTATCAGGTGCATGGGCTTCAGCGTTGTGGACTCGAATACATGATTAATCATGGAATAGACTAGGTGTATTGGGCCTGATTCTCTATACATACTTGGGCCGATCCAAATCAATCAGAATATCCTTCCCCGCCCATGGATGGGAGAGAAGTCCATGACTAGTTTCAACAAGGCTTGGTGAGCAATGCTTTTTTATAAAACAATGTCTCTCAAACAAATTGGGTGTGTAAACTATAGTTAAACCAATAAAAAAAGTTAATTAAAAGGCTATAACATTATGAAATAAGACCCTAGATGAGAATGAGGGAGTAATATATATATATATATATATATATATATATACACACACACCTTCTTCCATCCCAAAATCATCTTTCAGTGTGAAAATGACGCAGAATAAGAGTGAATAGCAAATTATTTAAATGCCTCTATCTACTTTTTAGGTTTAGTAAAAGTTGAGTAAAAATACGGTAAAGTAAATATATAGATTGTTGAGGGTCAAAGTGTGTGCCAAAAAAAGGAAATGAGAAGATGTTGGGATGGAGAAGTAACATTTTGACTTCACTGACTCAAAGAGAAGTGTTGAAAAGTAAGAAATGTGTGGTTAAAGTTTAGGCAAAATTACCAAAGTAAGAGTAAAACATAGAAAAAGTACCAAAATAAGAGATATATTTTCATTCCCAAAATAGGAGTTATAATGCCAATATATAATACCAAAAAACATTGTGGAGTGCCAATATACAGTGCTACATTATCATAGTGCAAACTCGTATTTTGGGGATAAAAACATTAAGCTCTTACTTTGGTATTTTTTCAATGTTTTACTCCTATTTTTGGTGATTTCTTTAAAGTTTATTTAGAACAAAAGAGAAAACTTGAAAGACACAAGTTCTTCAATTTGAGACAACCCCAATGTTGATAGGAAAGTAGTCAACCCGGTGTATACATCCACTTTCCATTTTTGGAAGAGTAATACTCCGTAAGTGTCATGTCTCTTTTGCCTAAATCTCAACTTCACTTAATAAATGCTCCAGCACCAAGATAGAACATTTTGGTCATCTTTTAACTTTTTTCTCATATTCTTGGTCCGTAAGCCAAAAAGCATGTGGACAAACACAATGGGAGTTTGGATAGAGAGAGTATAATTCAGCAATTTGGTAGCTTCAGTAAAAATTAAAAACAAACTTAAAAACCAATCAAACTAAAAGGTGTACACAAAAAATGCATTAATGCTGGAGAACCAAATCCAAAATAACCCCACATTCCACAGACAAGCTATAACTTGGACGGAAAAAAACACCTCACTGAAGTGCACCAAAACCATCTGAACTAAGGGCATGTTCTATACACCTTAATTTTAACAACAGTTAAGTCTGGTAATTGGAATCTTAAGTCTGAAGAATGGAACCTAGAGTCTGGAGAGAGAGTGTCAAGTCTGAAAATCGTTCTAATTTTAACTAAAATCTAGAGTCTAGAAGCTATTGGAAACTGGATTGCGGAATATGGATAACAAAAAGTTGAATAGAGCAAGTAAACAATGGGCTAAAGCATAAAGTATGTAAGCATGTAACATTATAATGCAACGCGTCCATTCCCAATGGAGCTAAAAGACTCATTACTGACAATGTTTTAGCTTAGGGTAAACAATAAACTAAATCAACTTGGCACATTAAGCATCATTTGCTTCTTACTATAGCAGAAATAGTCTCTCTCTGTATATAACTATGATAAGGTTATGTACGTCTTGACCCCCAACGGAGTTAAAGATTATACAGGGTGATGTTTTTGGAAAGGTTACATTATTTTGACCCTAGACCCCAAAAAAGTTGGGATTATAGTGGGTTTTCTCGTTGTTGTAACATTAGAGTGCAAACTGCATGATAAGGTTTAATACTTCAAACTCTTTTATGTGTCTGAGACAAACCTCATCTGCTGGACCTGTTCTCCTAAGCACATCGCCATCGCTCTGTGCACAGTATCCCACTGGACCCATCCCGAGTCCTCTTTCTTTGCAGACACACTGCAATTAAACATGAAAATTTGAATAATCTGATAATGTAGTGGGATATATATATATATATATATATGTATATGTATATGTATATGTATATATATATATATCTGGGTGTGTGTATAAAGCTTGAATGCTACCTCGCCGTTCCCATAACCTCCCATCTCTCTTTCTCGTTTTTCTCTGTCAGTAATTTCTTCCTCACCCCATGAGAATAAACATGGAAAAGCAACAGGGGCTAATACATATACCGCTCTGACTGCAACACTCTCATAGTAAAATAGCTGCAACCCATACAGAAACACCAACATAAATATCATTTTTGTAAGTGTAGCAAGAACCAAAAATGAGGGTAAAATTGGTCTTTTCATCCCATGTTTTATAATTTTATGCAGAACGGGCACCTGATGACTTACCTTAATATTTGACCTCACAGTTCGCACCACACTTTGTGGTGCATAATTAAGGAAAACAAAAATGAGGAGCAAAGTCAAATGTTGGGGTAAAATCTGGGGTGCAGAAACTCCAAATACAAACATTTGCAAATATGAGTTGCTAAAAAAAACCTGGAGAAACAGAAGACAGCCCCCGACTGCACGCTGTTTTCCCTGACGAAAGCGAGAAACCTCACGTACTAACCGATCAAGCAAGAACTTTGCCCAATTGTACTGGTGGATCAAATCCATATTTGTCAGGAAATGGAGAAATGAAGGGCTAACATCCAATCTTGCAGTCGGGCACAAGAGAGTTCCTAATACATAAAGCACAAACGATCTCTTGAAATCTTCTCCTGAATCTAGAGATGTAATCCGCTCCTCCAAAACACGCACAGAAATGCCACAATTTGTAGCTCCGTACTTCTTACGTAGTTCTAGAATTGATTCATCTGGTCCTGAATTTACCACATCTTCCCCACTGGCTGCTAATCCCATTACGAGTTCCACATCCCGTGGGGTTAAAGGAACCCTCTCGCCACAAATTTCTAAACTGCACCTTACCGCATTGAATCTTTCCAACAGCCAAAGACACAGACTCCGCCGAAGTGTCCGACATCTCAGACCAAGAATACTGCCAAATCCCATGCTCTTTACAGAATCCCTCTGGTCTGGTGAGAGCCGTTGTAAAACATGTAGCAAACGGCCAGGGGAGCATCTTGTCACCAATTTACTCTGTCCAACATTTGTCGGTTTTCTAATGAATAAAACTAAGTATGATAGAGAACATTTTAATGTAAAAGAAAACAAGAAGTAAAAACAAACAGAACTGAGTGTGATTTTGCATTAAATAATTTGAAATATTTAAAAAAGGTGTCAAACTAGGGCCTTTAGGCATTTACTATGCTGCTGGGGGGTTATATTAATATGTAAGAATGTGCCAAATAAAAAAGGACATATATTTAGTGAAAGGCCTGCAATTTAAACTTGTCATACTTTTCTTTACTTTGTATTAGCTCATGCCCATTTCTTCTTCAGTCACACGAAGAGTACTCCTTGAGTCAGGACTCAAAACAAGAAGGTTGTTTCCCTATTAAAGAAGGAAGCTATTAGCACATATGTCCAAGGATTGAGAAAGGCTTGCTGCTTGAGTCGGCATGAGATTAAACTAAATCTTATAACAGGTGAGTCATAACGAATTTGTTCTAATCAGGTTCTTCTGTTTTTTAAGTTGTGGGTCTCATGAAAACAACCTCTCCACTTTCTACCCACCCCCACTTTGTGGGATTTTAATGGATTTGTTGTTATAACAGCTAAATTAATACATGTCAACTTCTTGTTTTTAAGGAAAATAAATGTGGCCTAAACTATTCATCTCTTGTAAACAATTTTCAACCACCACATTTCACTTTTCAACACTTTTCTTAAACTCTTGTGAAGTCAAAGTGTCAAGTTCATTGTCAAATGTAGGGACGACTTTTAGTAATTATATTTGCTTACATTATTTCTTGTTTAATTCTCTAGTAGTAGTGATAGTATTGGTGGAAGCTTGTCTCAGAACAGGTTTAGATATGCCTCTTTATATACCCTTGAAATCTGGGGCAAGGTAGTCAAAATCGTGTTCCAAAGCGTTGAAATGTGTGATTCACTAAATTGAGTAATTGACCTAGGGGTTGCGATCTGAATAGCGAAGATCGAAACTTCTTTTGAATCGTACAAATCGCCAAGTAAGATCATAACATCGGTAAGATCGACTTAACTCACGCAAATCATTGGAACGAGAAACACATGCTAGAAATTACAAGCATTGGTCTACGCGACTCTTGGTATCCAAAGGAAATGGAAATAACTCTTATGGAAATGGGTTCTTTGTATAAATAACCCTTCATTTTCCATCATCTCCGATGGAGCCAAAATTTCACCAATTTTTGGCTTTGGGGTGTGATGGAATAAATCAAAATGGATCTCTAAACTGTCTGCGCTTCTTTAATTAATGAAGTAGCAGTTAGTCAAGCAATGCAACTTTCGACGTTGAGCCAGGGGTCTCTTTGGAAACAGCCTCTCTACTTTCGAGTAGGGGCAAGGTCTGCGTACACACACCCTCCCCAGACCCTATTCTTGTGGGATTTAACTGGGTTGTTGTTGTTGTATAAATAACCCTTCTATTTGTTCACACAACTACTCCTGAGATATTACCTTTGTTTTGCGCTCTACGACTTGCTTGCCTTCTGCCTGCCCAGGCATTTTTTTTCTTATTCTTCTACCCATGTATTTTTTTCTTATTCTTCTACCCATGTATTTTTTTTCTTATTTTGTAGAGTGCGGCATTCTTCAATTTTGTTGTTTTACAGTACAATTGAACAACAATTCCCACCTCTCTTTTACTCCAGCTTATATATTCTTTTTCACTTCAATGTGGACTATGATGTCACTCCCCTCTTCAACCGTGCCTTTTACCAAACCAATAGGAAGAAAAGCTCCTAGACAAAAAACAGACGTGCTTTGGGAACATTGCAAATTTGTTACTGGAAGTAATACACAACTACAATGCAATGATTGTAGCAAAATAATAATAACAGGTGTTTTTCATATGAACCATCACTTGGCCAGAACACCAAAAAATATAGGTGCTTGCAAAAGTGTCATGGATAAGGCGAAGCAGAAAATATGGAGATTCAAACAGAAAAAGCAAGTGGAAGAAGAGGAGGATGATGATTCTGACCATATTGTTCATAAAAGAAGAACAACATGCATGGGAAGAGTTTGAGAGAGGATGAATGCCAAGCAAATTCTAGGTTTTACTTCAATAATGTCATAGCATTCAGCTTGTAAAGTGAAGAATTTCGCATTATGTGTATTTTGATAGCAAAACATGGGCCAGGATTCAAGCCATCGTCAAATCATGAAATTAGAGTGAAGTATTTGAAACAAAAAGTAAGCTTGACACAAAACATTGTGAATGAACGTAGAAGCGAATGGAAGAAAATGTGGTGCTCTATAATGACCTATGGTTGAAGAGACAAAGAATAGGACACTAATAAATTGTATAGCTAACAACCCAAAGGGTGGGAACTATTTTCTTGAAATTGCTTAATGCTACTGCTATAGTCAAATAGCTCACAAGCTCTTTAAGATGATGGATGATGTCGTTGAAGACGTGTGTGAGGAAAATGCCATTCAAATTGTGACGGACAATGCCACACCAACTACAAAGATGCTTGTGAAATGTTGATGGGGAAGCAAAAAAGGTTATATTGAACACTTGCATTGATCACATGCTAGCAGACTTCAAAAAGAAAATTCTCAATCATGTAAAGACAATTCCTAACAGTAAAAAATTACAACCTACATCATTTATTCTGGAGACTTTTCTAATTCCTCTATTACAAAACTTTACAAAGGATTTGGTGAGACCGGGCATGACTTGATTTGCTACCTTTTATTTAACTTTGGGTGTTTTCATGAAAATAAAAGTGTTTGATTAGAATGTTTACACCGCAAGAATGAAGGTCAAATAAGTGTACAAAAACAAAGGATGGAAAGGTTGTTGAAGAGATTGTGTTAGATAAGGAGTTTATGAAAAAAAAAGTAACTCGTTTAAGGGGTGCATTACCTCTCATTAAGGTGCTTTGTTAGGTTAATTCTGATCATAAACTTGTCATGGGGTTCACATACAAGGCAATCGGCCAAGCAAAAGAAAAGTTACAAACAACTTTATAAGGTGTCAAAAGGTTTGGAATTTTTTTAGTGCTATAGACTTGATTACAATGTAGAAATTGTTCATACTTTCTCAACTTAATGACTCACAGTGAGCCAATGCATCTGCCTTGTCTGGGACTCAACCCTGGGTAAGCTTCCCCATAAATCCTAGGAAGTCGGCTTCTCACCACTCGAGCCAAGGGAGAAGCTCACATAGTTGTAATTTTTTATTGATGTTTGTCTACTTAGATAAATCATTTAAGATTTAAGTGATGTACTTTTGTGTTTAGTTATAAGCCCTTGTGGAACATCATTGTCTCATTGATGACAGATGTGACAATCAACTTCAAACCCTCAATTGCATTATAGCCCCGACTTTAAAGTCATTATTGAAGTTAAAAGGGGGTATATACTTCTATAATGTGCACGATGCCTAGTCTTGAGGAACAAACTAAGATTGATGTTCAATTAGGACTCTAAGAAATGTATCAACTTATTTAGTACTTCGATGGCTAGAAAGACACTTGATAAGAAACATCCAACACATTGGTGGGAGTCATATGGAGATGAACATCCAAAGCTTCAAAAGTTCATTATTTGAGTATTAAGCTTGACACGTAGATCGTCTGGGGGTGTGAACATTATTGAGTGCATTTCATATGGTAAGATTTCTATTATGTTTTGTAAAATATGCAGCTAAATACTACTTGCTTATGTTATGAGCTCGTGTATTTTATATTTTCATTAGGTCCACACAAAGAAAAGAAATGGTGTGAATGATTCGAGCTCACCATGCCTCATGCCTTATGGGTGTGTTTGGTTGAAGCGTGGGGATGCCAAACTTTCCCACCCTCCCCTCCCCACCTCTCCAAATGTTGAAGGGAGTGGAGGAGAAATTTTGGCTTCCCCACCCTAAAAGTGAATGAGAGGAAGGAATCTTTCTTCCTCATCTTCCCTCCTACCAAAGACACCCTTAAGGGGAACTAGAGAGTAAAGAAAATGACCTGTTTCTTTTGCTTTGGAGAATGAGGCCGAGCAGAGCTCAAGTGTTCATCCCATACTTTGCGGGCTCGATTTGTGTATTTTGCTTTCTCTTCAGGGATCATCAACTTCCAAGCATCTGATGCTGCTTTTGTGGCCTGTGTGCATACCAATGATACCCACAGTCAGTGTTACATTACGAGCATCAATTCCCTTAATGAAAGGAAAATGAAACATACTCATCTACAGGTTTAGAGCCAAGCGAGGACACTTACAGCTTTCAGGCCAGATGATTCAGGATGTGAAGCACTGTACTCTTTAATAAATTCACCGCTGAGAACAATGTAAAAGTTAGTATGAACTATGAAGGCGTCATCTTCTAGAGCGTAAAAAACATGGAAGGGTGTAAAATATATTGAACTAAACCGATAAACTTGTTACCTAAAATGCACCCAAGAACAAGCCGGCCGAATATACGCAGCTCCCCTTTTATTCTTTTTCTTGCTCCCTTCCACCTTACTGTGATCTCCTTTCTTTCTTTTCAATGTCAACAAATCATCTTCTTTACATGACACCTTAAGAGTTGAAAGGTGACATTAAAATAGTGGAAGTCGCACACTACATAACAGTAGCACTTTTTAACTTTTCAAGTTTTACTTCACCCTATTATTTTTTCTGTGGTTTTAGGATCATAAAATTTAAAAAGGGCAAATTTAAGCCACTTTCAGAATGATTCTTTAATCAGGATTCGTTAATCAATTTCGAGTTGGTCTTCAATTGTGAAAACCCAATGCAGCATGCCGGTATAGGCATTATATATCATGGCCTTATGCCCTTATTCTACTTCTTTTGGTGCATTGCACGCAGCTTGTTACAATGTTAATGATAAGCAGTTAATGAGGTTTTAAATAAAAGAATTAACCTCAAAGGCCCTCTACATTAAACAATCTACCATTATTACATTCAGATACAATACAACATGGATTCAAAGAAAAAAAATAACATGAGATTTTATATAGCAAATTCTAAGACTCCAGCCACTATACAATTAATATATTCGTCAGAAGTTCATCCAAGTAGAAAAGGAAGAGAATTAAAGATAAGAAATTGTGAAACGAAACCATAGCCTGGTGAGGAGAAGAAGCTTCGTGGTTGAGATCAGGCGTAGGAGACTCCATTTTGGCGACTGATATGATTTAGGGGTTTAAATCAGAGCATGAAGATCATCCTGGCTCCCTGGTACTGATCGAGGGAAAAGCACGTTCCGCCGCCGTTTAGGCTTGTAGGTCTACGCAGTATTAATTTAGGGGTGTACGAGCTTGCTTTAGGAGAGTAGGGGACGGTCAATCTAATTTTTAAAGATTTTGATACTCCCTCCGTCCAAGAATAATCTTCCTACTCTACCTTTTTTCCCGTCCGAAAAAAATCTTCCTACTCTACGTTTTCATACCCTCTCTTCCAAAAATACCCCTCTCATTAAATCTCACCCATTATTCCTAACTACACCCC